TACTTAAAAGAAATAAATATACTAATTTCTAAATTCAATTAAAAGTGTTTGAAGTGCTGAGCTAAGCTTGTAAATAAGATCAAGCATGATTCAGACTCCTCCAAAGTTATTGCTAACATTTACTAGACTTATAAGAATAATAAGATTTGTAAGCTGAATTTAAAAGCCCCCAAAAAAGGTTTTGAATTTGTATCTGAAACTGGATATTGATTCTGAAGACAAAATTACAAATTATATTATTTATTAAATTAGTCCCATTTATTAAATATATTAAAATATTACTTTTTAAAGCCAAATTTAAACTTAATTTTTAAAGACCAAAAACACTGAAATCATTTTTTCTTTAATTTCAGAATTTTATGGAGGTACACACATTTTGGTTATATAATTTGCTTTTGTACGGTTTGGGTTAAAGTCATTAAGTGTAGTGTTTCTACATAAGAAATCCACTGTCCTGGACTCCAGAGTCCCCCGACCCCACTCCCTACTCCATGAGGTTCTCTAGAAGGCTGGGGAAGAACAGGAGATGCAGCTCTTTCCCAGCTATTCTAGAAACTCTGAAGCCATCTTACCTTGCAGCAAGCTGAAGAGATCATGTCCCCGTCTTAGCTACTCTCCATTTCCTATCAGGCCACAATACCTCATAGAATAGTAAGGGGATGACCACTAGACTTGATGAAAGAAACCAGCTCCATTGCTTAAAGGACCCAAGGCTCAGTTTGTTCATCTGCAAAATGGGGCCGATTCCTTCCTTGCAAGGTTGCTGTGATGGTCAGGCCTCAGGCTGGATCCCTGATGCAGGGAGGGTTAAGGCAAAGAGGTTCTTGCCTGAGCTCACTGCGGGGACACTCCCTCTTCTTGGCAGGAGAGCTTCAAAGAAATGGCCCCCTGGCAAACAACAGGGGCTCTCACTCTCCCTCAGGCAGGCACTCCAGGTCCTAAATGAGTTTCTCACCACGAAGAGAGAGGGCAGGCCAAGAAAAGGGGCTGGCTCTGGGGTAAAGCGTCAGCCCTGTGGACAGGGTTCTTGCTCTGCAGGGATGTGACAGCCACTGGGGGAGCAGGAAGGGGAGGGGCTCCAGGGAAGGGCTCGAACCCAGCCCCCACCTGTGTTCCTAGGGTGACCTGGCCACACAGCCTCAGTGGGAACGTGTTTGGAGAGAGCAGTGTGGGCAAGATCCCTATCCAGAGGGAAGGAAAACAGGTTCTTTCTGCAAATACCTGGGAGGGAGGAGGTGGAGAAAAAGAATCATACCATCCCATTAATTTGTTCACTGGCCAGGCACAGTAGTGCACACCTGTCATCCCAGCTACTTGGGAAGTTAGGCAGGAGGGTCACTTGAGTCCAGGAGTTCAAGACCAGCCGGAACAACATTAAAAAAACAAACAAAAACGTGTTCAATGTAGGTGACTTAGAACCTCCTCTGTATTGCAAGGCCGCAGGCATGCAAATATAAACCCTACCTGTCCTTGTCTTGCAGGGATAGCTCCTGAGAATGTGGAAGTAGAAGTGGCTCCTTCTGCTGGAGAAGCGGTGGGGAGCCCCCGGGGAGGGGGGACAGTGGGAGTATGGCAGGGGGCGTGGCGGTGGAAGGAGCTTCCTGGGATGGTGAATGGTCCTGGGGAGGCTGGGGCTGGTCTCTGGCTCACAGGGGAGACACAGAGCAGCCAGTGAGGCTGGAAAGGTAGGTGGGGCCAGCGTGTGAAGGACCTCGGGGTCAAGTTCATGCGTGTGGATTCCGTTGAAAGCCAGGGAACAGTCTTAAGCAGGGGCTGCACCTTAGAAAGATCAAATGGGGATGTCCACAGGGGAGACAAATACAGAAAGTACCGTGTCCTAGAAGACTGTGGATGATAAGGGCTTGACAAGCATATGAGACAGGCAGTGAGGAAAAGATGAGTGAGCGAGGGACCCCAGAATCATCCTCACTGTGGGAGTCCAGGCCATGGGGGGTGGAGGGAGGTCAGGCTATTAGGCCCTCAGGCCAGGCCTCCCAGTCTCCAGGGCCCCTGAGACCAGCACGGGCACACTTGTGCACTGCAGTCTCCTCTTCCAGGGCTCCCCAGCATACCACGGGGCTGGCATTTCTCCTGCTGGGACAGATGTCAGCATAGGAGCCAGCAGGGGCAGAATGCACAGAAATCTCCAGTCCAGCCGAGTAAGGAGGGAGGCCAGAAGAAGCGAGTCGGAGAGGACACCAGAGGACCTCTGGCCAGCGGAGGGGCCAAGGGCGTTTAGAGACTTTCTGAAGAGCTTCAGCCAACTTACCACTGTTCCTTGGCACGAACGCAAGGTAAACCCTCGGTATGGACGCTTTTTTTCCTTCTTGCTTTCCTACTCTTTTCATATAAGATTTCAATGAAATGTGACCTTCAGATGGCCTGGTGGACAGAGAGTTTCCTAAGCAGCTAGGGTGGTCTGTTGGGAACTTTCTACCCACAAAAGAGTAATCGGTAGAAGCAGCAAAAACTAAGGATTGTGTGGTAGGCAGAATGACCTCCTTCTAAAGATGTCCATGTCCTAAGGGACTTCGCAGATACGATTAAGGACCTCGAGATAGGAGGTTATCCTGGATTATCTGCCTGGGCCCAATGTCATCATAAAGGGTCCCTAAAATTGGAAGAGGGAGACAGAATGGAGGTTGGAGTGATGTGACATTCGAGGTGCTCAACCTACCGTTTGCTGCTGGCTTTGAAAATGGAGGAAGGCCACGATCTACGGAATAGGGGAAGTGTCTAGAAGCTGGCAAAGGGAACGGATTATCCCTTAGAGCTTCCAGAAAGGAATGCGGCCCTGACACCACCTCGATTTCAGCCCCGGGAGACTCATGTCAGACTAACCGAGAGAAGCGTGAGATGATAAATGTGTGTGTTGCTTCAAGCCACTAAGTTTGCGGTAGTTCGTTATGGCAGCGATCGGGAACAAAGCAGATGGTAAGGCCGGCCCCCTGTCACTCAGGTCTCACTGCAGCCAACTCTGAGAGACCTCCAGCCACCAACCCACGGTCGTCCTCTCGTCACCCTCCAGCCGCTGGCACTTTGCCATCTCACTTCCTCCAGGGCTGTTCGTTAGTTGAAATGCTTGTGTTGACCTGATTTCCAGCCTTCCTCGATAGATTGTAAGCTCCAAGATAGCAAGCACCTTGGTTATTTGTTCATCGCTGCATCCCTAAGTACCAAGAAAAGTGCCTACACAGTGGCAGCTCCACAAATATTTGGTGCTAGATGAGCAGGTGGGTAAACGAGGATGGTGGTGCACTGCAAGGTCACGGGTGCACTCATGGAACCTACCGAGGACCACTCAGTGGCTGTTGATGGTAGTTACAACCTGTGAGGGTGAGGGCTCAAAAATGTGCACACTCCCGTTTTACAACCTACAGGATTGTTAATCTCAGTTCAGGTCACACCTCTTCAAAGTCTCTTATTAAGCCCTCAGGGACCTCAGACTAATGCTGCTGTTGCCCTCCTAGCAACATTTATGTAGAGAGTAAAATACAAGTTTCCTCTTCCAAATACAGAATATATGAGGAGACAGTCCATGAGTAAATACGGTAAGTGTCCCCCTAGGTCAAACACTCTGGGGAGAGAGACCAAGCTGGTTTTAGAAAGAGCTTTGGTTTCTCAGACTTTTTTTCGGTATTTTTCTAAGGTCCACAGACAGGCTGTTTCTCCGGGAAATGACTTGCCGGTTTAGTCCAGGATGGCGAACAAAAGCCAGGGGAGACCAGCTGGGGCTGCTACCTACCTCTGGAGTGGAGGCAACAGGAAAAGGGACAAGGAGGCAGAAGACCCGGGTGTACAGGGTTTGAGGACAGGATGCATCAAGATCTAATCTGACTGCTACACTTGCAAATTCGGTCAAGACACCCTGGAGGCACCCAGCACGAAAGAGGGTAACACGCACAAAATGATGTTTATTGACTCTATTCTGGAAACAGACAACATGACAGGTTTTTGGTTTGTGAGCTCACTTGGAGTTGAGAGTGATAATTGCTTCCTGTCATTAAACCTCAGCTTCAGGAAAATTCTAGCATAAATAACGAAAATGAATCTTCATCTCATAAAGGGGAGAAAAAGTGGTTAGAAACACTACAGCTATTATTCCTGCAATAGCTCTGATGGCTAAAATGCCCATAAACATAAAAATGTTTATAGATACAGTCTTGCTGCACAAATATCAAGTGTGTACATCAATGGTAAAGGTGTAAACCGGCTAACAGTCATCGGCAACTAAGTACACTGGGTCTGTACCAACACTCCCATTCTCAGTGCAAGAGCTTATATATTTAACTGATGACTGCTCTCCTCATCAGGACATTAAAGACATGGAAAAGGCATTTTAAAAATATATGTGTATGGCTAACCTTGTAAACCAAAAAAGCAAACCCAAGCATGATTAATTACTTTGCCTGGATCAATAAATACTAGTCTCAAGTGCTAAGTGTACTAACAAGGACAGTAGCTATCAGTTAAATAAATCAACATGTTGCCACCGGACTGATGTCCCATTTGCTAATGAATGCATGTTAGTCAATTTAGAGACTTTATCCAACACATACATATATTTTTTTAATTCTCAGAAGATCTCCTTTGGACATTTCTATCACTCTCTTAGGAGGATGAAAAAGAAATGACTTTTGAAATAAAATTTCTAAATTATAAGCCATCAAGAGCATACCTCTGGTCATAATTCAGGTCTTCACTCAGAAGGGAAATGCCATCAAGACTTAGATGAGGCCGGGCGCGGTGGCTCACGCCTGTAATCTTAGCACTCTGGGAGGCCGAGGCGCGTGGATTGCTCGAGGTCAGGAGTTCAAAACCAGCCTGAGCAAGAATGAGACCCCGTCTCTATTATAAATAGAAAGAAATTAATTGGCTAACTAATATATATAGAAAAAATTAGCTGGGCATGGTGGTGCATGCCTGTAGTCCCAGCTACTCGGGAGGCTGAGGCAGCAGGATTGCTTGAGCCCAGGAGATTGAGGTTACTGTGAGCTAGGCCGACGCCACGGCACTCAGCCTAGCCTGGGCAACAAAGTGAGACTCTTGTCTCAAAAAAAAAAGACTTAGATGAATTTAGAAGGTCTCTTCCCCCGATGGCCGCTTAAACTGAACCTTGCCTTCTGCCCAGCCCCCACTTGCCATACTGGAAGCCAAGGTGGCTCACGTCCTTGAGACTTCATAAACACTGGCAGGACGGTCAGGGGAGCTGTTTCTTTTCCTGGAGCTGTTGTCAGGGAGGCTGACGGCAAATACAGTGGAGGTGGGCAGGGATTCAAGGTGTATAAAGAGCCCCAGACCCGCAGGGAGCAGTATTAAGGACCAGCACAGTGCCAGAGTCGGCTGTCCCCAAATGGCACTCTGAGCCCTCACATGTTAGAAATTCCAGGCACTTCTGGGCACTTCTTTAATCACAGGGAATAAACATCCCTCCCCAAGTTCCTGCCCGCACCCTCCCGCCCCGCTTTGAAGCATGGAAACATTCCATTTGCTACAGTCCTCTGCCCATGAGGCAAACTGAAGTCTCCCCACTCCAATGCAGCTTCTCCTAGAAACCACTCACAAACACAGGGCGTTCTGGATTCAAATCCAGCTGCTTCCAGAGCTCTGCAGCGTAACAGCCCTGCTTGCCATGGGTCACTTTCTCTGGACCATTTCCAGGTTCCTTTCCCAGGGGGTTTGCTTGTTTTTTAGTTCGAAAACACACCCCATTAGAAATGAACAGTGCAAGATCCTACGTGCAAATATTTGCAAACTTTTTTTTTTTTTTTGGAAACAATACACATGTTAAAAATTCAAGTCAAATCCAGGTACAGACTAGTTGGTTGGTATCAGCCAGCCTCTCATACCCACAATAAGAAATCGGTCCATTTCTGAAATGAGAGAGAGGTTCGGGCAGCAGCTACTCCTCTGGAGGTTAGTTCCTTGAGCTTGGGGGAAACTTGAGAGGGAAACGCGCCGTTCAGTGAAAGACGGGGCTGCCCCAGCCTTGCCGCCTTCCGGGCCGAAAGCCAAAGCCTTCGTGTAGGCAGCACAGGACCTGGATGCAGTGAAGGCAGTGGGGCAGCTCTTTCCCAGTCATTCTGGAACTAAAATAAGGAAGCCACGTTCCCATGCTTGGCAGGGGTGCAGCCCACTTTCACTCCACACAAAAGAGGAAAGGGGTGACCTCGCTCCTCTCTTCATGCATAAGCTTCAGCATCACAGGGAACCTCCCGGGGAACCCCAAAGACCTACGCATGCTTGGTGGTTTTGTGTGTGTCCCAACAACCTCACGGCTACAGTCATGCCAAGGGCATTGGCTGTGTCACTGGGAGGACTTGGCAGTCCAACATCCGGGGGGAAAAGGCCCAGAGACGAGGATCTGAGTCAGGCAGGCGAGGCTGGAAGTGAGACAGTGACCGTTCGGCAACTGGGTCTATGTGGCTGCAAGGAGGGGGTCACAGTCACCAAAATGAAGAGGTTTACCACAGGGGTCACCTCCTAGGGCATTTCAACCAGGCCTGTACCCTAAAAGAAATAAGGCAGCATTGCCCAAAGGCAGAGCCCCTCGGCTGCCCACTGGGACGGAGCTGTTTGCATCCTGGCTGCACAGCAGGAGCTGGGAAGACCCGCGCCCTGGGCTCAGCTGAGGGAAGCGCAGTTCAGCTCTGAGCCCTCCTGGCTGCCACCAGCCCCCTCCTCCAGTTCGTCAGGGCTGTCGGTGATGTTGGGCTCGCTGGAGCACTGCCGCGGGTGTGGGGGGAAGTTGGGCGGCAGGAGCAGGCACTTGTCCTCATTGCCGGCCTCCTCCCCCAGGCCTGAGTGCATCATGGTGGCCATGGCCAGCAGCTGGATGTCCGAGTGGGCGTTGGCCACCGTGTGCCGCCGCACGCTGCCGCACTTCTCCAGGTAGGCCTCCCCCTCCTGCTCCGTCAGTGGCGTCAGGGCCATCTCGTTCAGCGGCCGGCTGGCCGTGCTCATGGGCGAGGCAAAGTTCAGCAGAGTCACCTTGGGCCGGACCCTGGAGTGCCGCCTGCCTGCAAGAGAAAAACCAGCAGAGGCTGTCACTGGGGAGGGGGAATGGTGGTCAGAAGCTCCCAGTCAATCTGGGGGAAGAACAAGGTGGTGGCTCAACCTTTAGGGACAGCTTTAGGCACAGCCCTGCTGAAACACAAGGGAGGCACTTGGCAACACCCAAAGGTTTCTCTTGCAACTTTACCCGTTTATGCCGACACCACCCCTGACCAACCCTACCGTTAGGTGGTCACTAAAAGCCTTGCCTTCATAGAGAAGGGTCAAGGGAATCGTTTCTCTTTCCTAGCTTCTCCCTGAGCTTCACTGGATTTGCCCTAAATCCCCTTTCAACCAATTTCCTCTGAAGACCTGGGTGTGGGCTGGCCAGCTTCAGAGAAGCCCCTGACTCTCTGCAAAAGCATCCTCTGTGTTCTAGCAGATGACGTGAAAGAGGCCTCATAAGCTTAAATCCTGCAGAAGAGGTGACTGGGGAGTGGCCTGGGCTATCACAGCCAAGGCAGTGGGACCATCCTGCAAATCACCCTGAACCAGGACGACCAGTGCCCTCGTCTCCCGCCAGGGCAGGGGTCTGGCACCTGTGCTCTCTGTTCAAGTCAATTCTCCCGGATTCAAATGGCCTTTAGCACCATCACAGGCAGGCAGGGTCCATGGACCACCCCGAGGAGGCAGACACCAGGAGGGCTGGACAGAAGCTACGATAAAACTGCTGCTTTTGAGCTATCACCACAATGCAGAAACTGTGCCGAACCTTGACACGCACCTTTTGGATCTTCCTAAAAACTGAACCTAAGTCACAACTTAGTGTTGGATCCCACTTTACAGAGGAAAACACGAGTATCAGAGAGGTAATAACTTATCCAAGGTCACACAGCTAAAAAGGCAGAAGCTGGGATTCAAACAAGGTCTGTCTCACTCCTTGCTCTTCCCAGATGCCCGTGCGAAGCACACCCCTAGCTAGAGGAGGCGAGGTGCCCCAAGGGGAGGGCAAGCCAAGTACAGGGGGATCAAAGGCTCGAAAAAGCTTGCCCATCTGGGGACGACCAGGAGACCTGCCAGGGAGGCTGTACATTGGCGATGGGCCTTCAACCAGGGCGATGGCAGAGCTCCTGGAGGGGATGGGGGGTGACAGTGTTCCGAGCAATGGCAACAGCCTGAGCGAGCTGCTGAGACAGGGCGCCATCAGGTCCCAGCCTGGCTGGAACACACAGCATAGGAGCCAACAGAGATGGGTCCAAGCTGGCAGGATGGGCCGTGTCCTGGGGAGAGGGCCCTTGAACGCCAGATGGAAGCATCTATCATGCGTCAGGCCACGGCAGAGCGGGGAGGGGGGGACAGGCAGGTAACCCTGCAAGTCACGGGCAGGGTGGCACAATGCCACTGGAGCCCCCTTGGCAGAGGTGTGGCAGGACGGGTTGGAGCCAGAGAGGCCAGAGTGAGGGAAGCCGGGGAGAAGGCTCAGGGATTATGCTCCATAACAAATATGGATCCCGTGTGAAAAAAATCAGCACTAGCATCAGGTGAGAGGTGATGGGGACAGAAACTAGAGTTGTGGTGAATCGGGCAAGACAACAGAGACTGACACAACAGAACTGAAAAATAGGAGACCACGGGAACAGGGTGGGAGCAGGAGGGATGGAGATGGTGACAGGCACTGAGCCGTGGGTGGGACAACAGACTTGGGGAAGGGGCGAGGGCCAAAGGCGGCAGCCCGTGCGACCAAGAGCTCGGGTCTGCTCTGGCTGTGTCGCATCCGAGGTGCCTCCACAGCCAAATTGCAATATGCGATGTTGAAGCTGGGGAGAAAACTTTCCATGTAAAGGTAGGAATTTGGTTATTTTCACATAATATTTTAGGACACTGGAAAATTCTCGCAGTATATTTGGTGACAAAAGCAGAATATAAATAATAGTATTATATGCATTTTTGTCTTTTTAAACAAAACTGGGGTTATCCTGGGTGTTGAGTTCATACACATATGTATAATAACTGGGAAGCCTGTTCATCAAAATATTAATAGTAGTTGTTGCTGGGTAAAGGTATTACTCATGATCTTTAAAATTTCTCCTTTATTTTTTTTTTTTGGGGGGGGAGATTTTTCTCAAATTTGAATCCATGTGCATGCATTTTTCTTATAATGACAAAAAGAAAACATTTGGGGATATGAAAATGGCAGAGTCCCGGGGAACTTGGTGATGGCTGGAGCCCTCAGAGTGAACGCTCTGACAATGAAGACAGGGTCAAGGACTAAATGGTTCCCGTGTATGCATCTGTGTGGGGTAGATAACATGAGACAGCCCCCTAAAAGGACAATAAAAGTACTAACAGCTAACACACAGGAGAGCGCTTAAGAGAGCTGGGAGCTGTTCACAGTATCTTGTGTCTACGAACCAATTAAATCCTCTCAACCCAAGGAGGTAAGAGCTATTGCTATTTTCATTTTACAGAAGGGAAACTGAGGCACAGAGAAGTTAAAGGACTTGTCTGATGTCTCGAAGAGGAGGCTGAGCTGGGCCTGGAACACAAGCATCGGCCTGGAAGCCGAGTGTCGTAATGGCCATGCCACTGCCTCTCCAGAAGGAAGGAAACCCTGGTGGGGTCGGAGAGGCAGGAGAAGAACCAGAACAGTAGGGTCCCCGATGTCTGGGGAGAAGATTCCCAAAGGAGGAAGCGAATCTACCAGCAACTCCCAATCCCCAGGCATCCCCTCTCCCACCTTCACAAGGCCCGTGCCAGTACAGACACCTACAGAGCCTGGGCCACAGTGGCACCACAAGGTCCCAGAGACGTCCCCGACCTGTGCTCCTCTCCAGGCAGCCCCGCTCTCTCCCACCAAGGCCCAGCAGCCCACGTGAGCTGGACGGACGACCTCAGCCAGGCAGGGGTGCGACACGGTCCGGCTGCTGAAGCCAATCCGGCCTGGGAGAGCGCCGTTGTGAAGGTGTGGCGGTGCCCTTACCACAGCTGTGGAACTGTGGGCTGGAGACAGGCGGGTGCTGCTCCAGGCCTTCTGTTCTCCTCAGCCCCCCTTTGTGCCACAACACAGCTCTCTCCAGCCTTCCAATCACCCACGCCTCGTCACCTGCCCCTGCCTTCCACAGCGCCCATGTCCTTGACACCCTGAAGACCCCGAGAGAAACACGCTCCCCCTGTCAGCAGGGCGGGGGGCAGCGGAGCGGGGTCTGGGAGCATCAGTATTCCTGCCACACTGGGACAGGATGGGGGCTGACCCACTTTCCAAGGGGAAAGCAAACTGTGCTGCCACAGACCAGCCTGGGGGACAGTGTGCTTATTTGATTCTCTGCTCTTCTCATGGGTCCAGGGGGCCCCGGACACACGTGCCAGTCACTTCTAGAGCTCACACTCCTGGATGGGGACCACAGTGAGGCCTGCTCTGCGGCGTCCACGTGCAAAGCTCACGGCAGCTCCTATCATGGACTGTTGTGTGTGTGTGTCTGTGTGTGTATAAGTAATGACAAGAGAATGACATTCTAATCATCAGGACTAAGTCTCCAAGTCTACTGACTCGGAACCCCAAGGGACCTATTTGGTGGTTGGTAACAGCTTCTCAAAACCAAATGATAATATGTAGAAATTAGAATTTACTGAATTGAGGGTTTGGAGTGTGTTCCCATCCCTGGGCTCCCTGTTCAGTCCCAATCTCCCCCCAAAACAGGTAGGGCTGGTCTCATTATCCCCACCGCACAGATGAGAAAACACGGCTCAGCCCCAGTTCTCTTGGGTTCTAGATGGCAGTGCCCGAACTCTGCCCACGACACACTGCTGTGTCTCTGGGCGCTGCCGCTGCCCTTGGAAGCCATGCTCCTTGAGCCAGCCCGCTCTCTGAAGCCGAGCAGTAGCCAACACTGCCCCCCTCGACAAGAGGCTGGCAGAGGCCTGGAGAGGTGGCCATTGGCCCTCCTCTTTGGGGACAGGAGACAAAACACCAAGGAGCAACCAAGAAGAAAGAATCCATGCCAAATGTTGACAGAGGTTCTTTCTCAAGCAGGGACGCTTGTACCATCCAAGTCTCTCATTGCTATCAGGCCTGCATTCTTATAATAACCCTGCATTACTTTTAAAATCCCCCCAAATTGATAATATAAAATAGAGTTCAAAGCAGCAAGACCCCATTAAAGAACTGTCCTTAAAAAAACTCCCTGGAAAACAATTCACTTCTCTCATGCTGCTGTTAAAGGCAAGCACTTTAGACTGCTATTGGGAAGCTCACGCTGTGGCCTGAACCCCTTCCACCAGCCTAGCAGGAGGCTAAACAAGACCCGTTCGGTGGATATTTCCTACGTGCAAATCTCTGCGCAGAGGGCAGAGCCAGAGAGGCAGACAGTAGCTAGATCACTTCTACTGTTGGCAAAGACTCAAATAATGTTTTATGGGCGTACGGGGGACTCCTGCTTGGGGAAGGAGTCTCTGGAAAGAAGCAGTATTAATGTTGGATTTTACAACATGGCTAAAACTTGGGCCAGGCAGATACGGCCGGAGTGGGCAGTCCAAAAAGAGGAAAAAGTCAGAGCAAAGACTGGGCCCAGAGAGGACACGGAGTGAACTGAGGTAACAGGGACTTGATTTGCACAGCTGACACCTGCAGCATTATTGAAGGAAATGAAAATTTCCTGTAATGAGTTTCATGGGCCCTACCCCACGGGATGAGCTGGGGAAAGGTGTCTCTGATGGTCCTTCGAGGGTCACCAAACAGTGATAGGTCAAGAGAGGCCACTTTGGCTGCCACTGAGCAGGGCTCACAGGCTGAGAGCCGGAGCCAGAGCAAGGGGGGCAGCCCTGGATAAGGAACCCTGATTAACACCTACTCCCTCCTTCAACACTTGTTAAGCTCCTACCTATATATGCAAAACACTGCACTAGCTGCTAAGAGGAAAAGAAAAATAAATCTGCTATAAGGCCTGCCACAAGGGGCTTGAGCCCAGCACACGCGTGCCTGGGTGGAGGGGTTCAGTCTTAGGAGCAACCGTTTACTGAGGGTCAGCGA